GGAAATCTGGACACCCTGGCAAGTCCAGCCTTTTTTCTTGTCCTGGCAAAAGGTTTTTCATCACTCTGAAAAGCTCCCAAGGAAGCAACTTCCCCGAAAACAGGAAGATGCTAATTCTCCAAAAATGCAGATCTTTTCAGGCACCTTCTCCATAAAGGTCACACTTGAGGGGAGCTGAGCCTGGGGATTTATCCCTGTGTTTACCTTTCCCCACACGTGTGCGGGGCAGGATTAGCGGCTGGGAATACCTCCGCCCGAACACCGGGGGTGCGAAAATATTTGCGGTTTTTTCTTGCTATTTGTCAACCTTCAGCGGGGCAGAACCACCTCAGCAAGTTCAACCACCTGAACTGAAAACCGTGGGGTTTTTTATCCCAAGCACGGCCCCAGGATCCTTCCAGGTGTTTTTTAGCCCCAAACCTGAGCTGAAGCACAGAACGGCGTCGCTGGCTGGTCCGGGGCGGGCGATGCTCTGCCTCAGCAGCTTTGTACAGAAAATCGGGGCTGATTTGGGAGCTCCAGACACAGCTACAAAAGCACACGGCAGCCGGTTGGGCAGAGCCTGGCCCCGGGGGAAATCTCTGGCTGCAGGCGGTGAGGAGCTGCCTGGCAGTGCTTATATCCGTATATATATTAATCCCAGCTAATGTAACTACAGATGTTCTCATTCAGAGCCCTATCTAATCCTGTTGGGCCCTTGCCATGGTGTCTCGTAGCAGGAGTTCTACGAGTTAATTACGTGCGGTGCAAAGCAGCGTTCCCTTTTATCGCTGAGAAGGTTGCCTTTTCAAGGCCCTCAATGTCCCTTTGTTGCTGGCTTTGAGGACCAGTGAAGAGGAGCACCTGTCTGACCTTCCCGGCGCTGCGCATTGCTTGGCAGCGCTCCACCGTCTCTTGGCAAGGCATTCCGAATCTTTTCCGTGGGTGCTCTCCGTGCCTTTCACCGCAGCTCCCAGCTGAGGACGTGCTATTGATTTCTGTAGTGCCCCGATATGAATTCAGAGTTTTTCTCTCCCCCTTTCACAGCGCAGCCTCGCATCTCGTGGCTCTTCTGAGCTCCGCTGCAATCAGCCAGATGTTTCATTGAGTCCCAGATCTTTTCCTGGAGTGGCTGCGGTTAATTGGGACCCTTCAGCGTGGATGAGCCATCCTGTTCCCTCCTTGCAATTATGCCTCCTTCTGCACTCCGGATTTTGGCTGCTGTCCCCTCATCCACTCGGCCGCTGCGGGTCTGTCTCGCACAGAGCGCCGTGGTCTCCTCACATCTGGAGCAGCCAGGCTGGAGGTGCTCACCTGGGAGTGCTCTCAGCTCCCTGCTTTCCTGATTTCATAGGGAATTCAGCTTCTGGGAGCAGAGGCACCCCCACTGCTGCCCCCCATTGCCTGTTAAAGCCTCCCCACAGATTTCTGCTCCTTGTTTTCTCCTCCACAGCCATGTTTTCAACCAAAAATTAACTTTTTCACTAGGAATTCCCGGTCATCTCTGCCACAGACACTCAGCATAAATTTTTCTTAAAGGTTTTCTGAAAAACCGAAATCCTGAGAGTTATTTGCCTTTCCCCGATGCTCTGTGGGCATTTCTCTTGTTCAGCATCATCCTCGTTTGCTTCTCTCCCATCTCACCGTACCCTCTGTGGGGTGATCCTTTCAAGCAAGGCATGAGGGAAACCCCGCGTTATCCTCCTCATCATCTCCGGGGTGTCCCGGACACTTTCCTGTCGTGCTCACAGAGCTGCCCTCAGCCCCGGCGCCCCGAGGGCTCTGCTGAATTTCCGCACCTCGGTGGCGGATGGACAAATCCACAAATCCCTGCACCCAGGGAAGGTCAGGGATGGAAGCCAGGCAAGTTCAGGAATGCAAACGCGTTCTGCGAGTGCCAGGGTGCCCATCGGAGATGCCAAAGGGGAGTTTGCAGAGATCACACCCCCCCCCTCCCCCCCCGCTGGTATCCTGGTGCACGCTTCCCTCAGTTTGGGGCTACAGCCCAAAGGAATTTGAACCGGATTGGGAAAATCAGCACCAAGCACCAGCAGCCCGGCCCTCCATGGCTGGGGAAGGAGAAGAGCCTATAATTGCTGGCTGCGAGTGTTTGCACTGGCCGGGGAACTGTAAATTACCTTTAATTGCTCCTAATTGCTGGCGCTGGTTCAGTTTCTCGAGGACAGGGACAGCAAATCCCCATCTGCAGGCACGGGGAGAGCCCCTCCTGCCTCCGCTGAGCTGCCCTGCTTCCCGCAGCTTGGGAACAGACCTGGCACGACGGGCTGGGCCCAGGGGGACGCTGGGGACAGGTGACACATGTGGCACAGGTGACACAGGTGACACAGAGCCCGTCCGTCACCCTGAGAGGACGATTTCCCCTCGGTGTGGCAGAGATCGCCGGGGTCTCATCCCGGTGAAATCCTGGTCCCCGACCCTCTGCCACTCGTGCCCCCTGCAGCCCTGGGCACATCACATCACACGTGGGGACATCAGAGCCCTCACAGAGCCAGGCCTGGAGGGACAGAAGACAACCTCAGAGAGATTCGGCTCTGAAAATAACCCGGCAGCTCTGGGCGAGCTGGCCGAGCCACTGCCTCATGAGGGAAGGAAGCAGCAGCATTCGATTATTGATTGATTTCTGTGCTGTCCAAAGAGTGCTCTGTGCTCTCACTGTGGCCTCAAGAGCCTGAGGATCTCACTCATCACCAGGGTTTTTTTCCCCTCTTTTCCCTCGTTTCCCTCTTTTCCCCGATCGGTCCCACTGAAATGAGGGCGATCCCCTCACCCAGGGGCTCCTCACAGGATGGGCTCTGTCTGGAGCAGCCCCGAGGGAATGCCTGAAACACGAGGCTGCTCTCCCCATCTCCTGTCCTTTGCCTCTCCTTGGGTAACCCTTCCCTTATTGTTCTGTTATCTCCTGACTCTCTGCTCTTCTTTAACTCTTTTCTCTCCTGTTCCTCCTTCAGGCCTTCTCTTAACGTGTGTTTATTTCCTCTCCCCCAGCATTACCTGAGCCATCCCTTGGGGCTGCAGTTTTCGCACCTAAGCATCCCTCTGCTCATCACCAGCCACGCTGATTTCCCGTTAAAACGTTTCCAATCTAAATTAGCTTTAGAAAAGGAGATTTCTGCTGTGGACAGGTTTGCAAGGAGTCATTTCCCAGGGAGAGCTCAGGGCAGGGGGGAGAGAGAGACTTTTAATAAAAAAATTCTAAATCAGAAGTGTCGGGAAAAGAGGAGAAAGGAGCAAAAGCTTTGTCGGTTTCTTGAGGAGTTTCTTTCCTTTCCAAATGAAAAATCATCGGGTTTTGGCAAGGCTCTGTCTCTTCCCACCCAGCACCTGTGGGGTCAGGGCTGGTGGCACTTTGGAGCCCTGCATGTCCCCAGGGAGAAATTGGACATCCCAGGGCAGGCGTGCTCCAGGCACCATCCCAATCCTGCTGGGCAGGGATCAGCCAGGAGCTGCTGCCCAGTGGGGTCAGACTGGTGCTGCTGTGCAGAACCACACTGGGCTGGCCTGGAGGGAGCCTGCAGCCAAGCACCAACGCTTGGAAACCCAAACCAACGTGGGATGTGCTCTGCTGTCTCCAAATAAGGTACATTTAGGGTGTTTGAGAGACAGGGGTGTGCAGAACAAACCAAGCAGCACTGGAGGTCCAGGAAAAGCCCTCTTGGAAGTGCTGTGCCCAGTTTGGAGGCTTGGGGGATTTGAACACTGTGCCCTGGGGACACTCACCCTGCCCTGACCCCAGTGCAGCCCCTCCAGGGCCCAGCAGTGGGACAGGCTCCCCCAGCCCTGTTCCTGGCAGGCAGCTCCCCTGAGGGGCAGGAGGAGAGAGGAATCAGCGCTCCCCAGGGAGGGATTTGGCTGGCTCCTTCCCGGGATGCTGCAGAAGAAAAGGAAAGTTTCCTGCCTGCCTGCCTGTCCCTGCCACGGCTCAGCAGGGGCAGCCCAAAGTCTGGCACGGCGCTTGCAGCTCTTAGAAATCAGGGCTGTTAACAAATGTGCGAGGTCCTAATCCTTTTGGAGCAGTGATGATAACAAGCCCTGATGCTTTTTCTTTTTTTTTTTTTCTTTTTGGCTTTTCTTCTTTTTGCCTTTTAAAATTTTTTTATCCCCCAAACAGCTGTGCCGGTGAAGTCCCACTGTGGGAAATGAGCTGGTGAATGTTTGAATGTTTTCAAGTGCAGTATTTACATCTCCTGCCAAACCCTTCACATCTGCCCGGTTCTGCCGGCAAGGTTGCATCCATCTGGCCGGGAACAGCAGGTCCTCAGCCCCCATCCATCCCAGAAGGGCATTTCCTTCCTGTGCCCGCAGTGCCAGCTGCCAGGGATGCTGCTCAGCGGGGAGGGCTCTGAAAGGACCGCTTTGATTTTTCCTGGAGTGCACGTGGGATGAATTCCCGAGCGATTGCTTCCTGCTGAACTGAGGGGTGGTGGAGTCCTGCTGGGTTTGTACCCCTGCACCACCCTGATGGGTTTGTACCTCTGTACCACCCTGCTGGGTTTGTACCCCTGTACCACCCTGCTGGGTTTGTACCTCTGTACCACCCTGCTGGGTTTGTACCAGCCCTGCTGGGTTTGTATCCCTGTACCACCCTGCTGGGTTTGTACCCCTGTACCAGCCCTGCTGGGTTTGTACCTCTGTACCACCCAGCTGGGTTTTACAACTGTACCAGCCCTGCACCAGTCCCGGGGGTTTGGGGCTGCTGGATGGCGGCAGTGGTCGATACTCCCCTGCCTTTAAATCCTGCAAATTCCTGATCTCAGCACCGATGGGGTGAGCAGTTGTGTCCTTTAACCCTAAACCCTAACCTTGTCCCCGCAGTGGTGCTGTGACAGGGCCACCCCCTGTCCAGCGCTGTCCCCAGCCCTGTGCCCAACGCCAGCTCTGTTCCAGCTCATTCCGGGGGTTTCTCGGAGTGCAGAGAGGATGGAGCGGTGCCAGGGGAGCTGCCCCGCTCCCGCCGATGCCACACCGCCCTGCCCTGACCCCGCTGCCGTGTGTCCCCGCAGAGTGCGACTGTCACCCTGTGGGTGCGGCCGGCCAGACCTGCAACCAGACCACGGGCCAGTGTCCCTGCAAGGACGGCGTCACCGGCATCACCTGCAACCGCTGCGCCAAGGGCTACCAGCAGAGCCGCTCCCCCATCGCCCCCTGCATAAGTAGGTGGATCTTCTTCCTTTCTGTGGAGTGGGAATTTTAACCCTTAAAACCCTGCCGGAGCCGCTGCCCAGGCTGGGGGTGCTGAACCCCACAGCGCTCGGGGTGTGGGGCTGTTTGGGGACCCCTCTGCTCTGCCCAAACGGGGTCCTGAACCCACGGCAGCTTCCAGCATCTCTCCTGCCTCCTTGGGGTGTTCTGTGAGTGCATCTACAGCCAGGTTTGCTGGGAATTCCATTTTGCTTCAGGGAACAGAGGTGCTCCAAAATCACATTTTTTGTGCTTAGGGGGATCGCTACAGATCACTAGAAACACGTTCTTCTCTCCAAAATCAGGCTGTGCTGCACTGGCACAGAGCTCAGACCACAGGAGCTGCTATTTTGATGCAGTTTCCACCACATCTGAGACCCCCTGGGTTGCTGCAGGGGCTCTTGCACTCACACAGCCCTGCCATGGGAGGGTTTACCCTTGGCTTCCTTGGGTTTGCTTTTCAATTTGCCTTCCCAAGGCAGGTACAGCTCCCAAAATGCCTCCATTGCAGCCTCTGCTCTGCAAACACCTGGATACCCTCTCTCTCCCTGCCTGGGAAGGTGGGGTTCAGTCCTGTGCCCCTCTCTGCTGCCTGTGGAGTTTGCTGCTGTTGGACCTTCCAGTGGCTCATGCTCCTTGTGGGACATCATCTGCCCTAACAAAACAAAACATCAAAATTAGTGTGCCTGGGATGGGATGGAATGGGATGGGATGGGAAGGAGGAACTACTCCCCTAAGGGGGGATTCCCTGCGGCTAAAAGGAGAAAAAGGCCCAGCAAGAAAAGTGAAGGTTAAAAGATTCCAGCCTTTGCTGGAGACCCACAGTCTGTTCCCACACCATTGACCCCCCAGCACAGCCATTGCCAAATTCTGGGGCAGAGACCCTTTCTCCACCTTCTCCTGCTGAAGAAAACACACATTCCAGAGTGGTTTGAGGTCACTTGGGATTCATTTTTGCCCGTGTTGCAATGGGACAGCAAGAGCCCAAAGCAGAGGCTTGCTGTCCCCAGGACCTCCAGCCATGGCTCCAGTCTGCTCTGCAGCAAGTGTGCACAAAGGTTTATCATGAATCATTCCCCAGGGCCAGGGGAAATCAGAGAGCAGATTGTTCCTTGCATCAGCTCCCTCAGGATTCATGGCATTTATAAAGACAGGCCCAGGATTTCAACATGGCCCATCCAGGGTATGGGGCTGGGCACAGCCACTCTCTGGTTTACCACTGCTGGTAATTCCCTGTTCCCAGGGACTTGTAGCCATGAAAAGAACACCTTGGGTCTGTGTCAGGCCTGGCTGAGCACCCCCAGCCCAGCTGTGGGATGGCTGTGCTGGCTCCCAGTGCTGCCTGGCCATGCACCGTGGCTTGTGCTGGGTTTAGTTGCATGAGAGTGAGGCATCCCAAGAATCACCTGATGCCCTATGAGCTGCTGCCACACCCCCAGCAAACCCTGCCTTGGTCGGTGTTCCCCCCCAGGATTCCCAGGAATGCAGAGGAATGCCAGCACCATGCCCTGAATGCAGGAAGGACATCCAAGGGGAGCATCCTGCACAGCTGGGACCGTGCAGCTCCCTCCCTCCATCCATCCACAGTCCATTCTCCCAACAAACACACCAGGCCTAGGAACGAGTCTCCAGAGCATGATGTGGTTCCAGCTCTGCAAAGCTGGCCCCAAATCAGAGTCAGGGACCAGGGAATTGGCACCAGATGTGTTTGTGTTTCCTTTAAACGTGGGAGGCACCCCTTGCACCCCAACAGTGCTGAACCTGCACCCTGCCTCTCACCAGGGGAGCGCCAGCACTGCCTCGGATCTGGTGACAGCAGCTGCAGGGGACAGCCCAGGGACAGCAGTGACAGCCCAGGGACAGCAGTGACAGCAGCCACAGGGGCTGGGCACAGTGCAGCACGCAGCCAAAAGCCAGATTTTTTTGTAAAAACCCCCTTTGTGACAGCTTTGAGGGATGCCCCGTTCCCCAGTCCCCGCTGTACTGGTTTGGGGGCTCTCGCTGGCACACGCGGCTGGGAGGGGAGCCTGCAGCGTGGGCAGGGGCAGCTCTGGGCTTTGCAATAACCTCTCCTCCCTCCTTTGTCCCCTGTGTGTCCCGGGTGCGCCGCTGTCCCGCAGAGATCCCGGCTGCTCCGCCCACCACGGCCGCCAGCAGCGCCGAGGAGCCCGCAGGTACGTGTACGTTGTGTTCCCTTCTTCTGGAGCATCTCGGTGCTCAACGTCTCCTCAGCAATCGCGTCCCTCGAGATAAACTGCACCAAAGCCATAAATCCTGCTGCTCGTACCGGGACGAGGGGTTTCCTTTGATGCCAAACGTGCTGGAAACACGCGGGCAGCATCCTGAGAGCCTGCTGTTCCCCGGTGCGCAGGGAAGGTGCAGGAGGATTTCCTGCTCAACCTGTGAGCACAGGGGCGTTACCCAGTGCTGGATCCGAGAGGAACCACCTCTGTCCCCCCGTGTCACCGAGGGACCCCGATGGTGCTGACCAGGGCATGGCAGCAGAAGCCAGAGTGTCCCTCAAAGGGTGACTTGTCCTGTGCTGCTGCTGCCTGCAGCTTCCCGGAGTGTTTGAGCCCCAGCTCTGAAGGACAGGATGTGTAAAAGCTGTTTACTGTTGTCTCAGTGGTTCATAAATTAAGGAGTTTGTACTGAAAATGGCAGATGTCACCTTGGATTGATCCCTGAGCCGAGTGCTGTGGCAGGGATTGTCACCCAGGCTCAGGAGCAGGGGACAGCCCTGGGATCTTCAGTCCCCAGTGTTGATATCCCAGGGGGTGTGTGGGACTGATTGAGGGACAGGTTTTACCGTGTGCCACACAGCAGCAGCCTGCCATGGGAGAGGGGCTGCTCAGGGGTCTAAAGCCCAGCTGATAACTGAGAACATAAAGCTGCATGAAGCTGATAACTGAGCACATCCCAGCAGGGTCAGAGCCCTTCCTTAGCTCAGAGCCCTGGCTGGAGGCTGGGGTGGGTTATCCATGCTCTGGGAGGGATGGGAAGTGAAGTGCTGGCACAGTGCCTTGTGGATCCCTGTGTCCTTGGAGGGACAGATGTCCCCATTCCCTGCCCCATGGGGTGACCAGGGACCCGGGCATCCCACCAGGAGCCTTCTCCCAGTGGAAGCCCAGCAAAGGCTGAGCCAAGCTGAGCAATCCATCAGGCCCAGAATCCCATCATAATTCTTCTCACTGGGATTTTGTTTTGGAGATTTAAGCACTGCTTCATCCAAGGAGCTTGAACCCTCCATATTTCATCCCTTTTCCTCAACGGGGAGCATCCAGCAGTGCTGTGTTTTGGCATCTCTCAGCTCCCATCCCCACCCTGCTGAAATCTGTGGGGTTTTTCACAAATCCCTAAATCAGTGCCTGCCAGGCAGAGCTCCCATGCTATGGGAGAAAAAGAGGTTGGAAACAAGATGGGAAAAGCAATTATGGGAGACTTTGAGTGCAGGCAGTTGTGGGAGAGATGCTGCCCCATTTCCTGTGCTCATGGCCATGTGGGATAGAAAGTGGCCAAGAGCTGAGGGAGCATCACCCCAACCTGAGCCATTGCAAGGACCACGGGCCAAGCTGGTCTTGGAATGAGGGGTGGGATGTGTCAGCTCTGGTGTGGGGGGTCCTGCCTGGCTCTGCTTTACTCTCAGGGGTCCCAATCAGTTTGGGAAAACCAGCCAAAATGAATTGTTTAGATGAAATGCATCTATGCTCTCCATGCTGGGAGGTTGGAGGAAGAGGAGGGGCTGCTCCTCATTTCTGCTGCCAGGCAAGAGGAGCTTTTCTGGTGCTTTTTTGGTCCCTCCCAGACAGAAGAGACCACAGTGAAAGGGCAAACAAAAATAGCAGTGGGGGGGTTTACAAAGGTTTACAAACCTGCCAGTCAGTCCTTGTCTTATCTGAATCAAATCCAGATTTTCTGGGGAATGATTATCTGAAATGGATGATTTCAGCCAGGGGCCTTAAATAAAACCAGGTGATTGGATTGATGCAGCTCCCCATGGTTTTCCCCTGGAAATCAACCTCTGCAGTTACAAAACCAGATCTGGCCCTTCCAAATGTCATTTTGGGTGCTTTTGTTCCTGGCTGGTGGGGAAGAGGCTGGATGAAAGTGCAGGAAAGGGAAAAGTCAGCTCTGAGGGATGCCTGGCCCTCCCAGACCCAGAGCAGCTCTGGCTGCAGTTGCAGCTTTCCCAGAGGGCAGAGGAGACCCGGGGCAGAGCTGGCTGCAGGCTGTGGTACCCAAATCTTAGCCTGAATCCTCCCCCAGGAACCAGGAACGGGAAATCTGCCCTCCCTGCTGAGCTGGGGCTCCAGTTTCAGCACCGGCAGGGAGAAAAGCCCGAGCCCTTGGCTGCGGGGAAGTGTCAGCCCTCGGAGAGCCCTGAGCATCCCGAGCCTGGGAACAAAGCCCTGCCCCGCTCCCTGCGGGCAGGCGGGAGAGGAAATCCTCATTTCATTCACCCCGGCGTAAATCCGGGCTCGGCCTGGGAGGCTTCAGCTTTGTGCCCATCCAAAGGAGGAATTCATTCAGCCCTGCCCGGGCTTTCTCTGCCTTGTCCCAGCTGTAAGCGAGGTGATGGATTGGCTGCGTGATTGATTGAGTGATTGATTGATCAGCAGCATCCAGCTCCCTCTCCCTCTGAACGGTTTCTCATGGTGATCCCGGTGAATGGCTGGGAGCACAATGGGGGAGAGGGACTTCCCGTGAGGGAGCTCCTGGTCACTTGGTCACTTCAAAACAGCTCAGAAAGTCTGAAGGAAAAAAACTAAAACGACCTCCAAAACTGCTGAAATACAGATAAACTTCATGCACAACGGCACTGTGCTCTCATCATCCCAGTGCCGGGCTTCCTGCATCCCTGCATCCCTCCAGCCCCACATCCCTGCATCCCTGCATCCCTCCAGCCCCACATCCCTGCACCCCACTCCCTTCACCCCAAACCCCTCCCTTCCTGCATCCCCTTATTCTTTCATCCCCACATCCCTTTACCCCTGCAACCCTTTATCCCCACATCCCACCACAGGCAAGCCTCGAGCTTCCGAGTCGGGACTGACGAATTCCCTTTCCCCATCCTGGGCCATTTCCAGAGGCTCATTCCCCCTGGAATGAGAGCTCTTGTCCCAGCACCAGCTCCTTGTTTCTGCATCTCTCCTGAACAGAAAACTCTTATTTTCCCCCAGGGCTGGGAGCTGCTGTCAGGCAGGGATTGATGGGATGCTCAGATCCCGAGGACAGGTGTTTTCCTAGGAATGTATTTCAGTGCTGGCAGTGGCTCTTGGCAGGGCACCCCTGGATCTGTACCCCACATCCCTGGCGTGTCCTGGGGCTCAGCACTGGGTAAATCCCACGGGAACGGATAGGAAATGTGCAGCTCAACACTGGATAAATCCCGCGGGAAGGGATAGGAAATGTGCAGCTCAACACTGGATAAATCCTGCGGGAGGGGATAAGAAATGTGCAGCCAGCCCTGGGAGGGGGCAGAGTGGTGTGGAAGAGCTGTAATGGTGGGGAGTTTTCCAGTGAGGTGTTTCCCAGTTCAGTGCTGGTTTTCCAGTGCAGTGTTCCCAGTGCAGGCTTTTCCAGTGCAGCGTTTCCAGTGGGTGTCTGGCACAGCTGGACTGTCCCCAGCAGCCATCTCCTGCTCCCGTTGGACCCGGGAATATTGCGATGTGCTGCTGAGGCCACGACTGTTCTGGGCCACCAAAAACCCCTCGGGCCGTTCATCCCCATCCCCAAACCGGCCCAGGCAGCTCCGGGAGCGGGCAGGGAACTCCCCTCGAGCTGCATTGGTGCTGGGGGGTGCCTGCGGTGATACCCGTGCCCAGAGCTGCCAGGGAGGGACCAAAGGCACCCCAGCCGGGACAGGAACGGCCGAGGGGCCTGCGAGGGCATTGCCGGGATGTGAGGGGACAGCCCGGTCACATCCTGGAGCTGCTGGTCCTGCTGGACCACCGGGGCTGGGGCTGCGGAGGTGGGAAGGGGCTGAGGAGGTGGGAAGGGGCTGAGGAGGTGGAAGGTGGAAGGGGCTGCGGAGGTGGGAAGAAGGGGATACGGAGGTGGGACAGGGCCGAGAAGGTGGAAGGGGCTGCGGAGGTAAGAAGGGGATGCGGAGGTGGGAAGGGGCTGAGGAGGTGGGAAGGGGCTGAGGAGGTGGGAAGAAGTGGCTGCGGAGGTGGAAGGGTCTGCGGGCTCCGGGAATCCCTCGCTGCCGCTTTCCAGCCGCTCCAGGCGAGAGGCTTTAATCTAATTACATGCTTTATTTGCGCCAATTTGTTTTTCAATCAATCTTGCTCAGCCAGAAGAAAGGAGGCTGCTGTGGGCTCATTTGCACCTTCTTGTTCCAAGGGAGAGGTTAATGGCCGTTATCCGCTGGGATCGGCGCTCCCGGCTCTGCCTGCCCGGGATCCTCCCGCAGCACGGGCAGCGAGCTCCAGCCTGGCACGGGGCACTGGGCAGCATCCTGGGGACACGCTGGCTGTGAGGAGCCGCTGCAGGCAGGGCTCGGGATGCTCCCGAGGTGCCATCCCGCAGGAAAGGTTTTGTGCGTCCATTGCCAGGGATGGCAGCGGGGTCCCACGGGAAGGCTTGGGTCTGCAAAGCACCGAAAAAAACGAATGAATTCGAGTGGAAATTACTCCTCCCGCTTGCCCTGCCCTGCCCTGCCGGGGAGTGGCACGGCTCAGTGCCGCGGGGGCTGTGCCCGGCACAGCGCAGGGCTGCCCTCGGTGCTCCCACACTCCTGGGCTGTGCCAAGGGCTCCTCAGCCCGCTCTGCACAGCAGAGGATGCTCTGGTGCCCAGCAGGTGCCTCTGCCTTGGCACACTGGTCACAGCCCCCCTCAGCCTGTGGGACAGATCCCTGCCAGCTCCTGGGACTGCTGCTCCCAGCTGGGAGGGGACCAAGGACAGTCCACGGCCACTTGGTTAAACACCACCAGTGCCAGAGGCCTGCTGGGCACCGCGGCTTGGCACAGACCCTCTGGGGGCAGATCCAGGGCCCTGGAATCCCTGCCCTGGAATGGCCCTGAAATCCCTGCCCACAGGCTGAGACTGCTTCATACCTGGGGACCATCCCCAGAGAGGACAGCAGGCACGGCTGGAGCACCCAATCCCAGCTGTTCCCAGGTCCATGGCCTGGAAGGGATGTGGCTCCCTGCTCCAGCCCCTGGCCATGC